ATCAAAATGTCGAATTTTGCGCCGTTTTTGGAAGTTTTTCTCTCAGGCTAGTGAGCGCAAATTCTCCCCTATTTGTAGAATGCAAAGTTATAACTTTAGTCTAAGATCTAAAAAGTTAGATCTCATCAGAATTATGCAAGAAATTTGTTCGAACCTAATAATCTTAACACGAAACCTAAGCTCGCTTTCCAGTATTCGCGTTTTCTATGATGCAAACTCGAGCGAAACCTTGAGAAAGTGCAAATCCCCACGGTATTAGATTACATAGCACTCTGGAGAATGTTAGGGATCCTGCACAACTAGCTATACTGTTTGCATTGCTTTTAGGGGAAAGTTGGAGTTGAAGCAGTCAACCAGAAGTTCGGGGAGCTGAGATGGAAGGCGTGATAAACAAAGAAGAAAGAACTTCTAGCATACTGCAGTAAAAAATAACAAACGCACAGCAGACTGGGTTACTCAAAACACACGAACCTAGTTCTTTAACTCGCTCCAGAATTTCAAAATGGGAATTTGGAGAGAATGTTAGTTCCTCTGCACACCGCAAAAGTAGGAAATTTTAATCTGGACGAATTTCTTGCTCATGATATTCGAAATCTTTGTGCCCCAATTTTTGGTTCCGTTGAAAATTGTGCCATCGGCTACTTTTTCATAAAATCTGTTCAAAAACATGTTTGTTGGAGAATTCAGAGCCAGAAATCATCTACAATTGTACAAAATGAGTTTAATTTTTGGAAGATTTTCTTTAAAATCTAGACCATTAGTGAGAATTCCCGGAAAGGTCTAGAGATCAAAACTCCGTCTAAAGAAACGGTCGAAATAATAACACACTACTTTGTTTTTTTCTTTTTATTTAAAAATCTCTCGTGTTCTGAACTCGAAAAGGAAGAAACCTTCAAACTCAATATGAATTCAGTATATGCTTCACAAATCACATACCTTTTTCAAGAGTTGAGATATTCTCATCAAGATAATGATCGTTGACGACAGAAGATATCTCTTCTTCGATAGCTTTAGCATCAGAGGACAGGAATTCGGATGATGCTGACATCTGCAAGTGGTTCAGAAATAAAAAGCACGCTCTATCTTCTATCTTCTTGAAAATTAATGCGTAGAATTGTAGAATGAGCTGTCTTGGTTGGCTCAGTGATGGTCAGAATAACCAGAACAATTTTTGCCTATTAAATGAAAGAGCTTTGAAGGAATTGAACCAAGCATAACTTTTCGTTCCAAAATTTTTAACAATTCGGATAGCATATTTTGTG